CTTGTTATTTTTATTTTTTTTTTTTAATTTACTAGTCGCTTTTTATACCCGTTTGGGTATAAAGAGGAGCAATTAGTCCCTTCAAAGCATATGCAAACATCCACTTAGATTTACTTGTTCGGCGTATGCGCATTAGGGTAGTCAAAAAAAAAGAAAAAGTGAAGTCGGAATTTAAATTTAAATAAATGATTCCCCTGTTTTTTATTTTGAAATCACAAAAAAATTAGAGATCGCTCAAAGCGCATATTTTGAAAAAAAGGTCCAAAAATATTCGACTAATGACAAAAAAAAAAAATTTGCCCTTGTGCTTTATTTTTAAACATTTTAATTTTTTGTGTTTTTTTTTTAACGAAAGCGGGACACAGACCGCCTTATCCTCTTCCCGATCACGAAGTTGAATCAAACAACGCGGCTTCTTTCAAAAATTGCGAAAAAAATATTAAATTAAAGCTATGCATTGCTTGAAGTTCTTTTCCAAATTTCCTAAGCATTTTGGGTAGTTCGAAATGCATCTTTTGGTGTCGTGAAAAATTTTGGTTAGTCAAGTTAAACGGATTTTTGTGTTGTATTACACTCGTATTGTAATATTTCATTTATTTCATCAAACAGGTGGCAACCCTTTTGAAAATTTTTTTCGGCAGTCATCTCTCCTAAACCTCTCCACTTTGATATCCATATCGCAATATCTAATTTATCTTATAAATTAAAATAAATTAAAATTTTGAAATATATGGCAACCTCCCCAAAAATATTTTCGGCTGTAAACCTTTTTAAAACCCTTCTTTTGACATCCATATTGCAATATTTACTTTATCTTATCAATTTACTTAAACTGGAATTTTCAAACAGGTGGCAACCCTCAAGTTTTCTTCTCTCTATATTTTGAGTTAGACCTCTAGAAATACATACATCGGTGAAAACTGCATTCAATTTCACGCATAATTTTCCAGTGATGCGCGTACAAACATTCAGACCGACAAAAATTCTAAAAATTTAAAATTTATAAATATGCCTCTCATAAAAATTTTTTGAGAACAAAATTTGTGTTTAAAGGGCAGATAAATTTCAGATGTAAATTTCACGTACATATGTATGTATGCTTGTTCATAAAATTATTTCTGATCTGCCGAGACTAGTTGATTTGTATAAAAATCTAAATTTGAATACCTTTGAAATACATAGCTTCCGGCTCTCCAGCATGCATGAATTGCATATTTACACTCATACAAATGTGCACGCGTTACATATGTAACTAGAGATGTATGTAAGTTATCAATTTTCGCTCTTATTTAAAAAAGCCCAAATGCATTTCTGCCATCAGTTGTGTGACGGCCTACTGGCGATAAGCTTGTGGGCTATTTCGGCCGAGAGATAAACTTTACAAAGCGCTTTTGTTTTACAAAGTACACTTTTCAGTTTCTAATTTCCAATCATCGAATAAAAATGGCTTTCGTTGTGCTATGCCTAACGCTAACAATGCTGCTGTGCGCTCATCTGTTATGGAAATGCAGCTATTGGCAACGGCATGGGGTGCGTGGGCCGCGCGGTTTACCAATTTTGGGAAATATGTGGGAATTTTTTCTCGGTCGCAGGCATTACGGTGATGTTTATAAAAATATTTATGAGTTAGTATTCGAAAGGAGAAAGTGAAAAATATCTGTGCTGTTGTATTTTTTTTGCGCATTTAAATAATTTTTTAGCGAATTGAAAATGCGTCTTTTTTTTCCTTCAACCAAGTGCACATCCACACCTGCCTTACATTGGCATATATCGGCTTTTTAATGAGCCGGCGGTATTGGTTCGCAGCCAAGAGATGATTAAAGAAGTGATGATACGCTCCTTTCAGCATTTTCAAGATAATGTCCTGTGGGTAGATGAGAAACGTGATCCAATCGTGTGCTATAATCCATTCATTGCCAAAGGCGTGCAGTGGAAACAAATGCGTGCGGAAATTTTGCCTATTTTTACACCAAATAAGGTGAGTGAGTAGTGGAGTGTTTTGCATATTAAAGCCAGCAACGTAGTAAAAATTGCATTGTTCCGCAAGCGGCTGACATAAAAAAATTAGCAAATTAGTGGGTAGAATCCTTGTGCCTTCTTTGATACAATAAACAGTTTTTTTTCCAAAAAACTGCTGAGATTGCCTGATTTTAATCATCAAAGCGTTGTACTCAGCATAAAAAAATATTTTGTAGAGACTGATGAAAAAAGAAGGAATGTGTTGCTTTGTTAAACCCTTTCAGTAAACAAGGTAACATTTGAATTCAATGTGAAAACGGACGAAGGTCAAAATATCAATTTACAATTAAATTTATGGGGAAAATATTTTTTAATCATTATTTTTTTTTTAATTCTAGTTTTAGAGAAATATAGGTTTCAAACATTTGAGAAAAAAATTTATTTCTTAGCAAAAAAAAAATAATTTAAGAAACAAATTATTTATCTAAAATTATACTAACAAAACCTTAGAGAAACTGTAAAAATTTTTTAAGGGAATAAATATTTTTCTGATAAAATAATAATTTTAATTTATTTTGAGAAAAAAATTGAATACAATTAGAAAAAACTGAAAAAAAATTTTTTTTGAGAGATATGTAATTATTTTCGAGAAAATATACAATTATTTTTTCTGATAAAGTAATAGTTTTGGTTTAATTTGATGGCAATAGTAATATTTGTTTTTGGGACAAAATGATTTTGAAAAAATTAAAAAAGTTTTTGAGACAAAATATCTTTTTGAGCAAAATAATTCTATTTATAATAACTTTTTACCAAAAATCAAAAAATAAAGGCTTACCAAAAATTGCATAAAATTATATTTAGACGAAAAAATATTTTTTTTTATTTTCGGTATTTCATAGGCTTATTGATCAGTAGTTTATGTGCAAGAACACACTGTTCTTCAAAATCTAACGTAATGTTTCGCTAACTTTCTTAGCGTCTTCAGGATCGTTTTTTTTATTTTCACATCAGCCGGTTAAAAAGAGTCACTAACTTATTTCAAACCGTCGGGCAGAAAAAGTTTCCTTTTAGCATTAATGCTGCGTTTTTAGTTTTTCTCTCTGACGGTAGGATTTTTTAAAAGGTCTTTCAAAAATATGATTTATCCAAAAAAAATTATTTAAAAAAATTTAGTGCAATGTGGAATAATAATTTGGGTGCCAAATGAAAGAGAAATTTTAGCAAAGTTAAAAACAAGTCAGTCTTCTGGTTGATAAGGACCAATAGGCATTGAAAATATTCTTTTTAATAATTTTATTTTTCTAAGCTAATAAAGTTGGAAGGGCGAAATTTTTTTTTTCAAAAATACTTATTGCAAATTTTCAAAAATATTTAAAAACAACATTATAAAAGGACTTTTTCAGTACCCTGTTGTCCTTATGCACCAAAAAATTAAAGTCCCTTTTATATGCGATCCACATTGTCATTCTACATTGCCAAAAAAATTTGTGTTTCTGAGTATTTTGGAGCTCGGCATAAAAAATAAGCAATTGCTTTTTCTTTAAATTTCATATGTTTCACTTAACTTTATTCGAACAAATCGAGGTCTGGCATTTTAAAAAAAGCATATGCTTAGGTTTTAGGCATACGGGCCAATGTTAAGCTTTTGAGCGCTTTGCATATATAAGAATGATATGAATTGCATGCTGCAAATGTAACCACTATATATATCGATAGAGCGCTAAATATTGCATGTTCCTATTTGTTTAAATATTTCAAAATAAAAAAAATAAAATCTGCTAATTAACTTTAAATCAATCTTCACTTCCAGGTCAAAGCGTCGTTTCACCACATCAAATCGATCTGTGAAAAACTTGACGCATATGTATCGCTACACATACTCAACTCAATTAATTGCTTTGAAGGAAAGGATGTATGTAAATATATTAAGTAAATCTATATACATACATATATATAAATGTGAATGTCTGTTTGTTTATCACCTTATAACTTTTGAACCGCGACACGGAATAGCACGAAACTTTGCACACTTATTTGTTTTTTACCCCGGGAAGGTTATAGGCATAGAGAAACTGTCCTTCCGTATTCTCCTATTGTAAAATTGGAGCAGAAATAAAATATAACATCTTTACATGAATTATTTTTCATCTCTGTATAAAGGCGTGGGTTGAAACCCGCGGGTAAAAACTACTTTTTAATAAATGAACAAAGCACATAAATATTACACATCATAATTATTAATGCATGTGCATTCTCACATACATATGTACTCGTTTGTGTATGAATGTATGTACACCAGCATCTGTTTGTTGTGCATTCCGCAGCTTTTCTCCAAGTACACACTGGATGTGGTTGCTTCGGCCGCCTATGGCCTTGACGGTGCTGCACTCACCAATACCAATTCGGACTTTACGCAACTTGTTGAGAATCTCTTTTTGCCACATGCCTGGAGTTTGCTTGAAACCATAGCGCTACTCTTCTCCCCGCAACTCGGCAACCTCATAAAATACCAGTAAGTGCGCCTAGCGATGCGTTAAGCTGGAACACTTTGATCTAAATATTGCATCTACATAATTGCAGTTACGTGCCAACCGGCGTTCAAGACTGGCTGCAAGGGATAATTGGAAAAGTGTTGGAAATTCGTTGCGCGTCCGTGGGTTCAGCGGGTTCAGCGGGTTCAGCGGGTGTGAGTGTAAAGTCAAACGATTTCATACAATGGCTTATTGAGGGTAAACAGAAGTTGCATGAGCCCGTCGATGCGACGACAATCGTCGGACATTGTAGCACTTTTTTATTGGAGGGTTTCGAGACATCATCTTCGTTAATGGCGTTTGCTTTGCACGAGGTATAAAATTGCAATGATACACCAGCATCGTTGTATATTTCCTTAAACATCATTTATTCGCTATAGTATGCTAAAAATCCGCTGGTACAAAAACGTGTGCAACAGGAAATAGACGAAGTGCTAGCTCGTCATGGTGGCGATATTTGCTATGATGCAATTCAGGAAATGTCATATCTAGGAGCAACACTTTATGGTAGTCAAATAATTTAACTGCATTCAAACAAAAAGTGAAATACGGCTGCGTTTATGCGGTTTAATTAATTTTCAAAATGATCTTCTTTGCAGAAACTTTGCGCCTTTATCCGCCTATGATGGCACTGCTGAAGCACTGCACGAAAGAATTTGAGCTACCAGCGCAGTCTATGGGCGGCAAGTCTTTCAAGGTGCCTGTTGGAATGGTTTTCGTCATACCAGTCAAAGGAGTGCACTAGTGAGTTTCGAGGGGAAAACTATTTAGACACTTATAAATTTTTACTACGCCTGGCTGCGTACATACATATGTATATGCTTGTGTATAAATATGCAAATTAGGGCGGGAAATTTTTTTTTTGCGAACGCGCGTATGGATTTGTGGGATTCTACGTGTAATTCTAAGCAAATGTGCCGCTGAAACCATGACCCTAAAATCAATTTGGAGGTTGAGAAAATAGATTTCGAAGAAAATGTTAAAATTTTCCTTGTTGTGCGCTCTGGTGGAAGTTTTAAGAAAAAAGTAAGTGCAGAAATGAATCCCTCATACCAAAAACCTCTTTATAATATATTTTTATGCAAAATTTATGCACTTCTTACAACACTACAGCAAAATACTTAAAAACCCATTTTCGTAATTTGACAAACTGGAAATTGTTTTTTGACCCATGATTTCACTGGAAATTTTGCTTAAAATTACACTTAGAATCCTTCACTATTATACGCGCATAGTCGTCTCCCATACAAGTTGACCCGCCCTAATATAGTACATAAGTGTATGTATGTAAATATAGCTGTACAGATTTTCATGCAGAGTTTGGCGGCTTTTTCGATTTTCGTTTGATTAAAATTGATGGTTAGAAATGAAAAATACGTTTTAGGTATTTTTTTGCCACAGTTTTATTTCACACATTTTTGTATTTTTCATCGTAAACCAAGCGTTCAGGCAGGATAATGCGATAGTGCATACCCCGAGGAGTACTGACGAGAGCCGTCAACTTAAACATAGCCATGCATTTAGTTGTGCAGAACTTTGAATTACTGACTGGTTAGGTAATGGGCTAGACTTTAATAAAATAATTATAAACGTTAAATAGACAAAATAAAAATAGCCAAGAGTGGTCAAAGTGTCACTTAATTTAATCGGCTGACTACATGGGTATATTTGTAAGTATGTAGCCAACCATAGGAAAATAATTCCCCAAAAAATCCCAAAAATGACAACACCGATCGCTTCTGATTGGTTGGTTGATGTAGCGAATGTAACAATTTTAATTTACTAAGTTGCATTGGAATAATATTGCCTAGAAATCTAACTTAGGTTCTACTTCTGATACGATGAAAATCATATCTTAGCATATATCTGCATCGCTTCTGTATGCTGGAAACAATAAATACATAGAGAGGCAAGTGCCTTAATCGTCGCCTGGCTTTGCAGAATATGGTAGTGGAATAGACTTTTCAAATTGGAGGTCAGTTAAATAAGCCTCCGTCTCTACGCAACAAATTGTGTGGCCCACAATTCTTAAAAATAGAGGAATACTTAGATTGTTAGATTAGGACATGTCCATGCCCGTACGTAAGCGCTTTCCACAGACTCAGTTGCCTCAATCTCAGGGCACTCTATGAAGCATTCCTATTAATAACACTGTAGGGAAAATCTTAAGTTTTGAAATTACAAAAAAAAGCAACACCGAAATATGCAAACTTAATTTTGAGTCATAGATTATGGATCGGTATACCGTTTTTTCAGATCTGGTTATTTTCACAATATGCTTTAATTTTTATAAAAAAAAATTCAAATTTTAATTAGGAAAAAATTAAAAAAAAGTAAAAGAAAAAAAAAATAAAAAAATAAATAAATAAATAATAGTTCCTATATTGTTTTCACTTGTATTAATGCCTGTTCTTTTGCCAAAAATATCAATCTAGTAACGATGAACGACATTTGAATGGTAAAATTAAAATGCGCAATCATTTTTTTATGAAATAGTAGCAAGCAAAAAATAATGTTACTCATACGCCATGTCGTCCATGGCCGTCCTCGTACATGGCGTATGAGTAACATTTTCCATCTTTGATCTTTTTCATTCGTAATGCAAATTTAAAATGAAAATACCTTGTGAAAATGATCTAGAGAAACGGTTCAAAGATCCGTATTCTACGAACCAAAATTAAGTTTACGTGTCTCGTCGTTGTTTATTTTTTTTTGTCATTTTAGCTTGCCTACAGTGTATTCCAAGGTGTTAAAAAGTTTCAATTAAGTACATAAAAAATATTTATATTCTCTTGATACACGAGAACACTTTTGTCCCCTGTTTTTGACCTCTCTCATTCCTCACTAACTTCTTCATTAACTCTCATTCCTCACGCTTGGTATTTATATGCGATTCGCTTTTCAGCATTAAGAAAGCGATACTATCTTCACTTAATAAATGATTAACTAACATAAAGACAAAAGGATGGGCGAAAGGAGAACAATCATTGAAATTAAAGGCGAACCTCCATAGTGTGCGTGCATTTGATATTTATGCTTAGAAGTTAAAATTCATACAACTTTCTTAAATTTTCATGCGTTGATTTGTAGGTGCTGCCATACAAATTTGTATATTACATTTTTGTTGCGAACGCACGCATTTGTATAGGCATGCTATATGGAGATCCACCTTAATAATAACAATTTCATTAAAAATATATACCTCCATATTAAAATTCACATTCTTCTAGCGATGCGGATTTGTATGAGAAACCTTTGCAATTTCAACCTGAACGATTTTTGAATCAAAATGAAAAAACGCATGGCTGTATGTTTTTGGGATTTGGTGAAGGTCCGCGTATGTGCCCAGGTAAGAACAGCTATTGAAATCACTAAAAGTAATACTTTCAATTATCGCTTTGTGAAATGACTTTTAAAACTTTTCCATTTTATGAAAGTGGAAATTGTTTAATCCAAATTTATCAGTTGGCGGGTTAAGCATTCAAAGAAGACGAAATAAACTCGATTTCGAACTACATAAATTGAAAGTTATTTAGCTGAATTGTAAAATTTTTTTCATCAACTTGTTTATTAATTTTTTAATTTCAGGAATGCGCTTTGGCTTGGCTCAAAGCAAAGCCGGCATCGTTACTTTGCTATCAAAGTATTCTGTCCACTTGTGTGAGAATAACAAACCATTCAAAATGTCTGCAAAAACTTTTCTAACAGCCACCGATGATGGTATATGGATTTCGTTTGAGGAAAGAAAGTAAAGTTTTTGCAGTGTTTTATATTTGTTTGAAAAATCGAAAAATTTTGTGTTTATACCTAATGCCTAGGAATATTTTTTGGCCGAATTTCCACAAGGCATTTCTGATAAAAAATGATAAAAAATGTACGCCATTCAAATAATATAATGCGAACGTTATAATGACACGGGTATTTTGTAATGCCCAACATTGTCATTTATTACTTAATGGAAAAGCAGCGTTAGTCTAATTTCTAAGAACAAAACAATGAAAAAAAACACAGTTCTATCGAACAACTAAATTGCCAAAGACATTCATAAAAAAAATAGTAAAGTGAAATATGCGCTGGCTGGCACAGTGCCCTGGCTATGACGGTGATGATGGGTGGGAAAAAAATGCCAAAGTAGTGACATTATAATTGGATGCGTATGCGGTAGGGGGCTAACTCGGCAGTCGTAATAAATAAAACTTTTTTCGAAAAAATCCAAAAAGATTTTCATCACTTTACTAATTAGCTTTAAAGAAAATGCTTTGCTAATTAATAGCTTGTGACAGTCAACATGGGCTATGGATGAGTATTTATATATCAAGAAGACAACTTTGTTGGTGAAAAAATTGTAACTTTCGTATTTCAGGTAATTTATGGCACATTTCAAAGCTGCATCGACACGAAATCGCCATAAACTTTGAACAGAGCGTGCATGAAATTGCTCACGTATAATCAAACGCACGCACGCATGTCATATGGAAGGCAATCATGTGTTTGTTATTGTACAAAGTAAATTACTTGGTTATGAATTTTGCACGCCATCTGTATACATATTAACATATGTATGTATGTATTTATATATACATTCATGATAAACATATCCATTAGGGTGGGTCGAAAATTTAATTTCTCTCAAATCCTTTGGTAATAGGGAAAATATATTGTCCTATGAGGTCAACAACAAGCCTGTAAAATATTAGTCTTAGTGAAAAATGATATATGAACGTGAGATACTAAATTTAATAAACTTTCACTTGATATGAGTAGTCCACTTGTAAACAGCGTTATGTGATTTTATAAAAGTAAGCCACAAATTAAAAGAAACGTCTATGACAACAAGTAACGCATTCTCTAGATATTCCCAGCCAAAGTTTAGTTTTCCAAATTCATGAACTTCGAATCAATTGCGCGGGCTAAAGATATGTTTTAAATTAATCTTTCGTGGTCAATTGTTATTGGATTATAACTAAGATAACATAACATTACTATTACAGCCTTTTATTTTCCCCCTTAAAAAATTGGCCCAGCCTAATATATATATGTATAAATGTGGGCACGAAAAAGCGCGTTGCTGGAATTTGTTCAAATCACGCGCAAATCATCAACATCATCATCATCACACACTCGAGATTATCAAATATATATGCGAGCACATACTTAGAAACATACCCAGTCGGAAAAATAGTAATGCATTTACATGCGTCGTAAATAATATTATGTATTTCTTATCCGTTCTCGATAATATTACTGCTAACTATGTAATCAACATTCTAGTGTATTCAGAAAGTTCCAAACAAGTAGGTACATACCCAGTGGGAAAATGTAATGTATTGTAATCGAAAAAATGATCAGTAAAACAGCCATTTTCACATTCAAAAATGCATTGTTTTTCCCAGGGCGATGCCCCATGAAAAGTGGGGCATTAATTTTTGCATTACCAGTAATGCAAGCATGAATGTGATTCAATATGAAATTTTTGAAAATTTTTGGATAGATACGAATGCTGATTAAATATTAAACAGCAAAAGAATCTAGAACTCATACGAAATACATTACATTATTTATCACGCATGTAATGCATTACTACTTTTCCCACTGGGTATGTATGTACACACATTTGTGCGCAAAAATATTGAGTGTTGTGCTACCGTTCGAACGGTTTGTTGCAAGCTGTTGCCAATATAAGGCTTTATTTTATTAAATATGTACATATGTATGGTCAGGTAGCAGGCAAACATTGACTTACATATACATACGCCCACATACTTATATTCGTATTGTACTACATATGTTGTTCATTTACTATGTAAACATGTGTGTTGCGAGTCATCTTGTATTTGGCTTAGCTATGTTCAGTATTTATATATGTATATGTATGTACATTAGGGTGTTCAAAAAAAAAGTTAAGTCGGGATTTTAATGCTCTCACTCCAAGGGCTGTTCTATATCCAAAAAATAGACTCGTGTTTTTTTTATCAAAACATATTTAGAGGTTGCTCAAAGCGCTCAAAGTTTCCCATGAATTTTTTATGGAAAAGAAAAAATTTTTCGTATAAATGGTAAAGAAGCCATGAAAATCTATATTTTTAAATCGGCAAACTATGTTTCTCACCAGAAAGCTTCAAGAAATAAAACTCCATTGTATACTCAGACCTTTTACTATACCGACTATTTTTAAAGGTCACCTAAAACTCCAAAAAATCCAATGTGTAACTTATAAAAAATCGTTAACATTAAAAAATGTTTACAAAAATGTTTTCGAGAATTTTACGAAAATAGCTTTTTTCCCTATATAAAATACATACCTCTAAAAAATTGTTGGAAAAAACAGGGGTATCTCTGTTTCGATAAAGAATAATCGCTTTTCTTAGAAGCATTTTTAGACCACTCTTATGTGCATACGTACGGTACGTATATATATGTAAGGTGGTATATACTTCTCCAGTAGAATGAAGTGTCTATGATGTGTGGTACGTGCGCGTGAGCACAAATATGCTGACATATTCGCAGCTGTTGGTATTTCAAATTTTCCTAAAATTTCTTAAATACCAGTATAATGTAAACTTGAATACATAAATTTATTAACATTGCAATAACGCAGACTTTTTTGTTATCGATAGATTCTCAGCGCTTTTACCGCTTTAAACTAAATATTTTGTATTAACACAACGCAATTTCAAAAATGACTAAGCAGTTATGTGTTTATGAATACTTTCTAATAGAATTGTAAAAATCCATGTACACATGTACACATTCGAGGGAAATGATTTTCATACTAACACACGATAGGACTTAGGCTTGAGATGTGTTTTTTTTTTCTTAGATGGCCCTCGCCCGGCAACGGCAAACCGCTGAGTGTACTTCCAGCCTAAATAAGTGCAAGAAAATATTTGCTGTTCTGAGGTTGCGTATCTCCATTTAAATATGTAAGTATGTATGTGACAGTATTGGATAGCACAACACAAAATAACGGTGAATCGCATAGAAAAATGTGTGGAAAAATAGAGAAAATGTTTATTCCTGATCTTTTAAAGCGAAAGGCTAGAGAATGAAATTTTTTCGAAATTAATTTACATGGACTACTTACGACACAATTTTTAGTGTTATCGGACTAGGGATTTGCCATAGACGGCCTCAACAACATTAAAAATTCATTTCTGGTATATTCATTACCAAAGGAATAAAAACATAGAATATATTGCCCAATATCTACAAATAAATAATAAGGGAATATAACAAGTAAATGAGCATCAAGTTAGATGATAAATGGAATGGAAATGGTTATAGAACTTTTTTTTTTTAATATGCCCAAAAGTTTGTAATAATTTTGATTTTCCATACTTTGTTAGAAAACATAGTAAGGTAATATTTTAGATATTATTTAGGAGAAGCAAAGCATGGTATTATTAGAAAAAAGTTAGAACGCTTTGACAATTCAAAACTCAAACATAATCAAAAGTTTATCGATTCATGGCACTAGCGCTGAGTCTCACTAAAAGTTCCAATTGATATTTCTTTCTTGTTTCTACCCCTAAAATTTGCTTTAGCCTTTAAGAATGAAATGACTAGAAAACATTCGCTTGAATCACTTTTTGACAAGCAGAAAAGAGGTTTAGTTTCGCAGTAGGAATGCTAAAATGACAGAAAAAAGCCCAGGCACCTAAATTTATTTTTGAGTCATATGAGCTCATTTTCCAAAGATATCTTAATTTTAATTTACATCGTGAACTTGTATTAAAGCCTATTATTTTACAAAAAAATAAAAATAAAAAGAGATGTGAATGAAATAGTTAAGAGCAAGAAAATATTTTACTCATAACTATGTCATATTCGTGTTTACATGGCTATATACAAATATACTTATTAGTTGGTACATGGCGTATGAGTAACAATCTTTGCTGCTCGACGCAGTTGATCCGTTAAAATTTGTTCCATGACAAATGGCTAAGCGAGCCACCATATCGTTGGTTCGAATCAAATGACCACCAAAATTTATATGCAATTTTTTTATTTACATACTTCAATAAATTATTTTATTTTCTTTAATGTAATTATAGATGTTGTGGACTATTTAATAATATAATAAATTTTTTTTAGACAACAATATATTTATTTGCTGAATCTGCTTACGACTTAGGCCTAACAATAAGTAAGTAACTAAATTTTAAACTAGTTAAGTGTTGAGCACTTTCCTTTCAACGATGCTCTTCAAAAGGCATTTACCAATGTATTTAGGCAATTTTTCAATTTTGTTTTGATCATAGGTATTTCAAGATCCTTATGTATATTTTCATTCCGAAGGGTTTCCTTGACTTCTCAAAGTATTCCTTCAGGCCACACTTTATCAAATGCTTTAGCTGCATCTGACCTCAAATGACTTTCTAATTTCATAAGTGATTCGATTAGCTTGTTGTGTTTAGTATAACAGAGAGGGAGATATATTTGATAGTAGTATTTTTTCAAATAATTTGGAAAGATAGGTCCGTACAAAGGGGGCTAGGTTGTGCCTTTTTCTCGTTTAGCTATCCTGGTAATTTGCGACCTCTCCCATGATTTCGGAGCGTAACCTGGTTTGAATATGTTGTTAAAGATATCAGATATTTATGTTTTTATTTCAGAAGAATATGCCGTAGGAGGTATCTGCAGTATAGTGAATCGTTGATAAAATGAAGAAATTCATAGTTATTTGAAGCATTGTTTGGTAGGAACACGTTCTTTAAGCAAAAATGAACAGTTAATGAAGTATACGTAGTTTGAAACCAAGACCGTAGCATTATTTTAGCACATAAACAAATAAAGAAAAACTTTATTAAGAAAATAGATAAAGCAGTGGTATGTCATTTTAACAAAAATAAAATTCTTTAAAAAGTCATTGAGTATACAAATTTATACATACATAGAAACAGTGTTGGACACACATATCATTTTGGACCAAATTCAAAATGATATTGTTAGCCACTTATATTTATTTATTAATTTTTAAGATTTTTCAATTAAAATACAGCTCATTTCCTAACAAATACCATATAAACCTAAGCTTCAGATTTTGTAGAACACTTAAAGAAAAAAATACACTAAAAATTAAAATTTTTTTCTCAGAAGTTTTTAATGGGTATACAGTTTTATAGCCCATTCAATTTTAATGTAAGTTGCAAGTGGCTAAAAGTTACCGTTGATTTTTTTAAATTTTTTTCCGGTGTGTAGCGCTGCCACTGAATTACAAAATATGTAAATATTTTAAGGACTTTTAAAAGAGCACTTAAAAGGGGAAAAGTATGGATAAAATGGTAAATGGGGTACGAAGAATTTAGGTACTTAGGCGGGTTGTGTAAATAAGT